AAAAAAAAAAAAAAATAAATAAATAAACCATGAAACGAAAAATTACAGTTTAAAATGTTATAGGGACGGAAAAAAAAAATATATATACATATATTTATGTATGTTATCATTACTAATGGCATGTATAATTACGAAAAAACATGATAAATACATCAATACTCACTTTTTTACTCTCTCAGAGTGTTGTGATAACACACTTCATTTATACACTTGTACTTGTAACAGTAATATAAACAACTATCATAATAACATTGATATAATACAGTCACAACTCTATGGATCAAGTATCATTAAAATTTTTTAAAATTATAATAATTTACATTTACCGAAAACTTCTATCATACTTTTGATATATTTGTATTTTTGAATTAAGTTTTATCATATTGCATACGTACTTTCGTACTTTCTGTACTTTTCTATACAAGTGTTGTTTTCACCTCTGAAGTTCGATAAACACGCATTGTAAATACGTAAGGTTTTAATAAAGTTTTAGTTGTAAAAAAAAAAAAAAAATACTTTTCCAGCTTTTATTACTTTTATTTCATTAACAAAATCGATACATTTTTTGCCCTTCAATAAAAACTCTATATGTATACATGAATGCAAACATTCGTATGTACAATAAGAATTTTAATTTCCTTTTTTTTTTCAACATCAATTCAGGACTACAGTATAAAAAGTGTAATTCTATGGACGCTAGTTTTTAGCGCCTGGCGTATTGATATGGTCACATGACAAAAATTATCATCATCGAATGATAAATAGTTTTTGTCAAAAACACCAGATTTGGCACAGCTTCAACGTGGCTCTTTGGAACTAGAAAGTGTTAAAAATTTTTGTCACGTGATTTATGAGCTCATGTAAAATAGGTAGGGCCCATTCAAAGTGAAATGTTTGCTTCATGTTGCCGTCTTTCTTCCAATGCCGCACGAAGACCTATTCGTTAAGGTTCAAAAAACTCTAAATATGATGGTTTGGAAAAGTTTATGTTCATCCGTCTGTAGTACGGGTCCTCGTGGGCTTTTTGAGGGCTGATATATACGTGAGCTGGGAATGACCGTTGGAAGTATGTATGGTGACCACATATGGTGTATTAGTTGGTATGTACGCGCATGTGCCCCATCAGATTGCCATTTTGGCTAAAAGATTTTGGGCAATTTGCACACTTACGGGGTTTTTATCCTGTATGGGTCCTCTTGTGCTCCGTGAGATGACTGGAAAACATAAAACCTTTTTGACATACCAAGCACGTGTACGGTTTCTCCCCTGTGTGAGTCCACATGTGCTGTGTGAGGTTACTGGAAGATGTAAAACCCTTTTGACATACCGAGCACTTGTAGGGTCGCTCCCCTGTGTGAGTCCGCATGTGCTTTTTAAGACTGCTCGGGTCTGTAAATGGTCTTTGGCAAATTGAACAGGTACTACAAGGTTTGCCGGTGTGGAGGCGCATGTGTCTCGTGAGGGTAGTTTTTTGACTGAAAGATTCTGAACAATCTGCACACTTATAGGGTTTTTCCCCTGTATGGGTCCTCTTGTGCTCCGTGAGATGACAGGAAAACATAAAACCTTTTTGACATACCAAGCACGTGTACGGTTTCTCCCCTGTGTGAGTCCACATGTGCTGTGTGAGGTTACTGGAAGATGTAAAACCCTTTTGACATACCGAGCACTTGTAGGGTCGCTCCCCTGTGTGAGTCCGCATGTGCTTTTTAAGACTGCTCGGGTCTGTAAATGGTCTTTGGCAAATTGAACAGGTACTACAAGGTTTGCCGGTGTGGAGGCGCATGTGTCTCGTGAGGGTAGTTTTTTGACTGAAAGATTCTGAACAATCTGCACACTTATAGGGTTTTTCCCCTGTATGGGTCCTCTTGTGCTCCGTGAGATGACAGGAAAACATAAAACCTTTTTGACATACCAAGCACGTGTACGGTTTCTCCCCTGTGTGAGTCCACATGTGCTGTGTGAGGTTACTGGAAGATGTAAAACCCTTTTGACATACCGAGCACTTGTAGGGTCGCTCCCCTGTGTGAGTCCGCATGTGCTTTTTAAGACTGCTCGGGTCTGTAAATGGTCTTTGGCAAATTGAACAGGTACTACAAGGTTTGCCGGTGTGGAGGCGCATGTGTCTCGTGAGGGTAGTTTTTTGACTGAAAGATTCTGAACAATCTGCACACTTATAGGGTTTTTCCCCTGTATGGGTCCTCTTGTGCTCCGTGAGATGACAGGAAAACATAAAACCTTTTTGACATACCAAGCACGTGTACGGTTTCTCCCCTGTGTGAGTCCACATGTGCTGTGTGAGGTTACTGGAAGATGTAAAACCCTTTTGACATACCGAGCACTTGTAGGGTCGCTCCCCTGTGTGAGTCCGCATGTGCTTTTTAAGACTGCTCGGGTCTGTAAATGGTCTTTGGCAAATTGAACAGGTACTACAAGGTTTGCCGGTGTGGAGGCGCATGTGTCTCGTGAGGGTAGTTTTTTGACTGAAAGATTCTGAACAATCTGCACACTTATAGGGTTTTTCCCCTGTATGGGTCCTCTTGTGCTCCGTGAGATGACAGGAAAACATAAAACCTTTTTGACATACCAAGCACGTGTACGGTTTCTCCCCTGTGTGAGTCCACATGTGCTGTGTGAGGTTACTGGAAGATGTAAAACCCTTTTGACATACCGAGCACTTGTAGGGTCGCTCCCCTGTATGAATCCTCATGTGCACTCTAAGACTGCTCGGGTCTGTAAATGGTCTTTGGCAAATTGAACAGGTACTACAAGGTTTGCCGGTGTGGATGCGCATGTGTCTCGTGAGATTGGTTTTTAGACTAAAAGATTTTGGACAATCTGCACACTTATAGGGTTTTTCCCCTGTATGGGTCCTCTTGTGCTCCGTGAGATGACTGGAAGATGTAAAACCCTTTGGACATACCGAGCACTTGTAGGGTCGCTCTCCTGTATGAATCTTCATGTGCTGTGTGAGTTTACTGGAAAATGTAAAACCTTTTTGACATACCGAGCACTTGTAGGGTCGCTTCCCTGTATGAATCCTCATGTGCACTCTAAGACTGCTCGGGTCTGTAAATGGTCTTTGGCAGATGGTGCAATTACCATAAGGTATGCCTTTGTGGATGCGCATGTGTCTCGTGAGGGTAGTTTTTTGACTGAAAGATTCTGGACAATCTGCACACTCATAGGGTTTTTCCCCTGTATGGGTCCTCTTGTGCTCCGTGAGATGACTGGAAGATGTAAAACCCTTTGGACATACCGAGCACTTGTAGGGTCGCTCTCCTGTATGAATCCTCATGTGCTGTGTGAGTTTACTGGAAAATGTAAAACCTTTTTGACACTCTGAGCATTTGAAGGGTTTCTCTCCAGTGTGGATTCGTATGTGACATGTCAGTGTAAATTTGTGCTTAAATTTTCTAGAACAAAATGAACACTCAAAGGGTTTCTCATCCGAATGAACAACTTTGTGACTAACTAAATTGTTGACATTGTCAAAAGTTTTCCCACACAGATCGCATAGGCACGATCTTTTTCCGGTGCTGCTTTTATGTCCAGAATTTTTTTTAGTGAGCAGTTCGCGACCGTCGGACATTTTGGTAAATATTACGCCACTGATTCAGATGAAAGAGTAAATATACAGTTGATGCGGACTCAGTAAGAAGCTTCGATCTCACGGGTTGTGTGACAATAGTAACGATTCTTTGGTTCCTCGAGACAAGAGTTCCGTCCTTTGAAATAACTGGTCGTTTCTGTTGATAAAGGAAACAAACATAATTGTTGTATAGATGACTTTGAGGTGTTTGATTTAAATTTCTGATATGAGTCAATTGTTATTTTGGTTTTGCTCTGATACAATAATTTTTGCGCTTGTACCATAAAATTTCATTTCACTTACAATTAGAAAATATTCACAATCAAGTATAACATTTACTTTAAAATCCTACGCTAGGAATAAACCTTTCATACAGAAGAAAATGAATTTTCAAAAAAAGTAAAATCGAACAATTATCTAAGTTGCAGTTCCAAATCTGCCACGTGATCTTAGAATGGCATCCTTTTCTACTAATAAAACTAAATTTTATTGTAAAAAAATTAAGAATCGAGTAATAGCATTCAGTTTTAATTTTCTTTTGTCATCGAAAAAAGTAAAAAATGGGTTATTATGGTACAGGGATAGCCGGTGTGGATGCGCATGTGTCTCGTGAGGGTAGTTTTTTGACTGAAAGATTCTCTATCATAATAACATTGATATAATACAGTCACAACTCTATGGATCAAGTNTATTGTAAAAAAATTAAGAATCGAGTAATAGCATTCAGTTTTAATTTTCTTTTGTCATCGAAAAAAGTAAAAAATGGGTTATACAATATTAATGTTTGTTCGAACGATTTTGCCTTAACAATATGCAAGGTTACGCGGTTGAAGTCATTTTCACGTGTCAAACCGGAGGTTATGTTTCATTTATCTTGCTCCATGGTCAACTTAGTGGCCATGTTGTTCTCGTTGCAACTTTCACGTGGAATCATATTCCACGCATACGTGACTTCAAGAATAATTGCACAATTGTAAAAATAGTTAGTAATATGATGTAAGTGACAAATACTTTTGTAATATTTAATAATTTAAGAGCTAATTGACTATAGAATTAGCTGTATCCGTGTAGTTTTAATGAGTGAAAATTGAAAATCACTAAGTAAAGTTATACCTGTAAAGAAACTTACTTGTTGATGTAGAGATTTTTGTGCGCTAGATTTAAATCGTTCCCTTATCCAGGTATTAAATGTTACAAACTTATAGGCAGAATTAAATTAGCTTTTTATAACTTGTCGAACAGTTGCTGATACCTTTTATTATAACTATTTCAAGAAGAATTTCAAGTGGTGAATATGCATACACATTTTATATATGTTGTAAGTATTTTAAACAATATGGTAGAAATTTCGACGATTGACGTGAACAGTTTTGGTATCATGTGCAACTTGGTACTTAAAAATCTACACTGACATCACAATGGATAAGGCGATTGCTATGTCTGTTTAACTGTGAGCGATAAGTACTTATGATAATCGCATAATAATGACTTTTGGCTGTGCACGTAGTCGTACTATTTCGAAGTGGTGCTTCTTGGCAACGTTGGACTGTCCAAGTCATTACGCGTTTTGTTATCAAAAAAAGACCGTTACGATAATTATAACGTAGTTTTCGTTGCTCATAGAGCATAAACGTATAGTTACACCTCACAATTATGAACTATACATGGCTTTGAATGTATTGTTAATTCATGGAATGGGATTCAAGTGGTTTACATGTTTTAAAAAATTCAACTACGTTTGTCTTGCAGTTACACAAGAAAAAGTTATGCAAAAACGAATAATTATTGCAATATCCGTGCAAGATTTTGCTTATTAGTTCAAATTACAACGTCACAAGTTAAAGAACAAAAAAAAATTTTTGTCACAATTTAGTTTTCGCTAATAAGTTATGAAAAACCTACTACTCTTCAAGTTTTTAATACTGCTGATAGTGATACAGCTAAAGTAATTTATTTTTCAAGTTTGAACACACATTTGTAATATTAATTAATAATAATACTCTTCCTAAAAATAGCAAATTCGCATTTACTTTTTCACGCAATTTTTCAAGTGCACCTTACAACAATCCTTTCTCGAAAAACTTTTTTGACAATTGGAACACTTGAAAGGCTTGTCACCCAAATGATTCCTCACGTGATCCACAAGGTGGTGCTTGTACGCGTACGCTTCAGGACACAAGGCGCACTGATAGGGTTTCTCGCCCGTGTGGGTCCGCATGTGCCTTCTCAAATTGCTGGGATCGGTAAATGTTCTTTTGCACACGGCGCACGTGTCGTAAGCCAAACCCGTGTGTATGCGCGTGTGCAACTTGAGAAAATTTTTGTCAGTAAAGCCTCGCTGGCATACCGAGCATTTGAAGGGTTTTTCGCCGGTGTGGGCCCTCCTTATGTGCCTTGTGATATAAGCTTTTACACTGTAAGCTTTGTTGCATTCAAAACACTTGTAGGGTTTTTCGCCTGTATGTATTCGTATGTGCCTCGTGAGATCACCTTTTTGGCTAAATGTTTTTGGGCACATCGTACACGAGTGGGGTTTTTCGCCCGTGTGTGTCTTCATGTGCCTTGCAAGCTGGGCCAAGGAGACGAAAGTTTTTTCACACACGTAGCACCGATGGGGCTTCTGGCACTGCTTGTTGGGACTAATATTTTGTTCATTTTGGTTGCTGTTTTCCATCTCGTTTGAAGACGATTTCACGCAGATTTTTAGATTATACTTCTATTTAAGCTCGTGTGGTTTTTGAAACGTAGATTTAATCACTGTGATCTTTAATAGTGTGTGATGATGATGATTATTCGTGGATTTGGTAGGTCTGATGATTTTTTTATATATTTTACTGTAGAAAAAAAAAATGATGTTAGCTATCGTGTCCAAGAAGGATACATTTAGATGGAGTCTGATATAATCAAGATTTGAAGATTTGGAAAAAACTTATTTCTACGTCCAACGATTTTGTTTTGAAAATTGCTTTGATTGTTACAAAAAGTTATAGAAATTTAAGAACACAGGTATAAACATATTTTTTATTTTTTTCTGAAAAAAAAAAAAACCATTTTTCCGAGCGTTCAAAGAAAATTAATAAAATATATGGTACAAAACTAACGATTTGTCCCAAAATGTAAATGAAACAAATAAGATTGGATCGTATTAAAACATCTTTTACTACCAAGAACTTTAAAATACAACACTACTCGAAAGAGTTTTAATTTTTTTTTTTTTTTTAATACATAAAGTTTTAGCCAAAAACTCAATATTTGTTAATTTAACTGAAAAATGCTTCTAATCAATCTTATTTCAAACTTTGGCTTTACGACTTTGAAATTATTGGAGTTGTAGATGTAATTCCACGCTTTAAAAGAGTTTCAGGCGAGATTTTTGCAGCCAATCGTATTTTTGACGTAAAAAAAAATGTTTTCCATTCATTTGTGCAGGCATCGCCACGAAGAAACAAATAAAAATGAAATTGTGTGAATTTAAAACGGGTTGAAATTTGAATTTCGGAATTTGTGAGAAACAAAATGATCATCACACATTTGCGCTCTACACCACACCTAACCTGAACTTACTTCCCCGATTCCCGATGCCGATTTCATGCCACGTATCTAAGAATAGTAAGATATATTAAATGATATGCAACCCCAAACCCCATTACCCCAAGAGTAAAGTATTTTTAATTAAGTCAGCCTCCATCGTGCACCCACTTGATAATTATACATGTATCTATAAGTATAAAAATGCACACATACCTTGAGCATCGTACAATCGTGCGTGAAACATCAATTGTTAATTGTTAAGTTCCAAGGCAACTTAGTTGACTCTATCGACGATCGACGCTGTAGTAGGTACAAGATAAAAGAGCCTTAGTCCAGCTTCAACTCGATTGAGAAGGTATAGATGGCAACGCTAACTCTTCTACGAGAAAATAGTCCCAGCCATCAGGTTCCTGAAGCTACAACTGCCAGGCCCGATCATCCGATTCCACCTGTAGAGTTAGCAAACGACCCTCCCGAAGGACTAGTTGAGGCAATAAAACGAAGAAGGGCAATAACGGGACCTCACAGATTTTACAGCGAAAACCCATCGCTTACCTACAAGTGGTAAGAAGATTATTGAAATATATATTTATATATGTTCTTTTTGTACTTTACCGTGGTTGAGTAAATTTTTAACTACAGTGATTTTTAGTAAAATGTAATTATTATCCTGCATCCAGTAAGATTGTTTTGTTTAATATTTGTGCAGTTGCTCAGCCACATCTCACGAAAAGAAAGAAAAAAAAAAAGTTGTGGAGAAAAACAAAGATGTAAGGAATTTACATATATACCGCCAGTACACTTTATGACAACTTTAGAATTATTGTATTTTTTAACAAAAAAATTTTCACACAGTTTTATTGATTATTCAACTAAATCATGTATGAAAACTTCAGTTACATAACAAAATCAGAGTTCAATACTGTACATGAAAAATAAATCACTACGGGATGCAGTACTTAAACGGAGTTTACAGATTGTTTGTTACAATTATAGCTTATTTTAACGAAAACAAGTTTAAACTGCTATATTTACAATTGATCAATATAATATATTCTCACAAGACTAAATGTTAATGTAAAAATAGGTCTTTTAATCTATCAAATATATTATTAAGTTTAACAAATCCGTACAATTACATTAATTTGATAATTTTTTTTTTTTACGATGCCACAATATTTCGAGAAGTATGCCGTGTATGTCACAAAGATCATCAAGTTCGGTTGGCCGTATTCAATCACTGCATTCAAAAAAATACTACTATGTTGTGTTATTGTTACTAGATTTTAAATTTGATTGATCATGAAAAAATTTTTTCAGGCCAGCAGAGAAAGAAAATGTAACTGCAGAGGATGCTTATGAGTCACGTTGAACAAGAGTTTGCAAAACCAGTATTCTAATTTAATTTCTTTTATTAAAATTACAACTTATTTAAGAACGTGTGGTTAATAAATTAAATTTTTACGTATAAAAAAAAAAAAAAAAAAAATACATGTTTATGTATTATACTATGAAAATAACACAAAATTTTTATTTTGCATTTACATTGTTACTTAAAATGGTTCACACAAATTACGCATGTATTTGACAGTACACAGATTTAAAAAATTGAAATACCTAAATACCTAGATTTAATGTGGCAAACCAGAGTCACACCAATGCCAACAAATGCCGATAATATAACTATTTGACGGTAAAGTAATTGATGAATGGCTATATATTTTTGATTTTTCGCGGCAATATATATAGCAGATAACACATCTATCTATATACAGTTGTGATCGGTCGTCGGTGTCGGATGACGTGCCTACAAGTACAAAGTTGTTGTGTCCGGTAACACTATTTTTTTTTTTTTTATATGTGGTAATTTATAATGAATTGAAAAAAAAACTACACCTTTGGGAGTTTTGTTATACTTTTATTTTATTTTTTTACACTTATCAAGCATATATATGCGCACAAGCTGGGCCCACACATTCTGTTATTAGGGTCCTGTCAATCGGTCCGCTGTCACCATCGATTCATACGAAATATTTCATTGAAAAACTGTATCATTAATGCTTCTGCTTCGCATTGTTAATTTTTTCATTTTACATGTTGTTTTATTGGCTCTCTGAATAATATGTAGAAGCCACAGGGGTTGTAAGAAGTTTCAGTATAACCTGTACAACACAGTCGTTGGATTATATTTTTTTTTTCTGTTTTGCTTTCTCACAAACGTCAAATCGCTTGCTAATTGTACTAATATACACATAAAGCCAACATAGCGGTTTGAACTGCCGAAAGTTTTTGCCAGAGGATGAATAGCTGCTGTTGCTCTTATCACTGCTGCTTTCAACACTGCCTAGAGCATTTGCTTCTTCATTTTTTTAATCATGGCCATGGATAGAAAAGCGACAAGTAAACGACAACAATCAAGTAACGTGTTTTTTTTTTTTTCTTCAGTGAGACTGATTCTGTTCATTATGTTAAACTTAAATTTATAGAAACTTCCAGTATGGCAGACGTGAGATTGCTGGTGCAAGAGGAAGGCAGAGCTGCCAGGAATCTGATAGCTTTCAATGTTCCTCTGGAGGTCGACAATGTTGAAAAGATAACGCGCAAACCGCCCAGTGTGCCAAAAGTCTTTCAGCCAGCCAATGCTAAGAGATCGATCAAAAGCACCGCCAGACTAAGATCAGCTTCGACTGGACGAGACAAGCGTTCCGGTGAGTTGAAATTTTGTAAAAACACGCTGCTTCTTGTGCACTCGGTGTTAAAAAATTTGTGTGACACCTCGTAGAGTTGCAAGCAAGATACTGGGCATTCCTCTTTGGCAATCTTCAGAGAGCTGTGGATGCTATTTACGAGACGTGCGAAGAAGATGAAAACATATCAGAGTGCCAGGAAGTTATCTTAGTACTGGAAAATTACACAAGGGATTTTCACAATCTCATTGAATGGTTCAAGGTCAAGTGGGCCTACGAGACGTCTTCGCCGCCGTTGAGGAGAACTCCGTTGGCGTGGGAGGTACGCAAGACCTCGCCTTGCAGAATGTGGAACTCTTGCGTTGTGTCCAAGCCAACAAGTCCCGTTGAACAGGTCATCGTTGAGCACAAAGTGAGCACTAATGACAACAAAGCAGAGCCTCCTATGGTTAATCAGTCGAAATCGGATGCCTTGAAAAATTCAAAACTCATAAAGGAGTGCAAAAATAAAAATTCTAGGGATGATGGTAAGATGGTTGTATGATGATGATGATGATGTCAGTGAAAATTTTTAACAGTATTAAATAAAAAATTGTTATAATGACCGTTGCAGGAAAAATTTTGAAGGAAAAGAATGCTCCAGTCAAAGTGAACGCAAGAGCTCCACCGTCTGGTGTATTTAAACGATCGATGTCGAGCAAAAGTCAAGAAAACGACAGCAAAGTCTTGACGGAAAACAACGTCAATATCGTTGTGAAAACAAATTCAGACCCAAAAAACATCAGTGTGTCACGCAATACCCAAAGGTCTCAGCACACAGCCGTCAATCGTACGAAATCTGCCAATTTACTAGCTTCCAATAATGTTAATAACGAAAACAACGTCGATGCACTGTCTAAAAAAAACAACGAGGCCAAGAAAGATATCGAAACAACGAAAAATCTCATAAATACCAACAAGAACATTGTAGTTAATGGCACGAGGTAATGATTAAAAGTAACTTGGGCGTTATAAAGAGAAAAAAATTTTAACATTTTACCTTTTACTTCCTAGGACCACCTTAAGTTGCATTAATAGCAAGCCATCGAACAAACCCGCAGTGTTGACTGTTCCTAAAGTGAAGACTAATATCGGCACTTTGCCAGCAAAGCCGGCATACTCGACCATATCGCGAATGAAGTCGTCCTTGAGTATTTCGATGACTCAGCAACAACAGGAGATCCCAAAGATTGTCAGGAGTTATACCACTTTGGGTTTCAAAGGACCAACAACGCCCAACAGGATGAAGCCCGGCACCTCGGTCATAGTGAGAAAACGACCGCAAACCCAAGCTGAGGTAAATAAATAAAAAAAAAAAAAAGTAGCCATAGCTCACAAGTACTTTCAAACATAAAATTGCAGTATTTGAGGAACCGAAGCTCCATCAGCTGCGAGCAGGGCGAAATGAGCGCCTCCGTCGAAGTTCTCCATCCTCAATCAAAGACTCCCAGACAACAGCAGCAAAGCTCAGAATCGTCGCCACCGCCAATAATTCCAAAGGAAGACGTGGACGGTTGGCAGACGGTGCGGGGTCGTTACAGACGCAGCAGCACGCACAACTTGAACATGTCGACGCGATTTCACAAGCCCAGCACAGCGACCTCGCTACCGGCCCTCTGCATCGACTCGCCGACGGAGAAGAACAACCGACAGAGGAGCAGAAGAAGCGCTGGAGCTAAACTCATGAAAATCACCACTATCACCACCACCAGTAATCAACCTGAGAGACAGCTCGACTCGGAGAAACAGAAAGTCGATGGCAGTAGCAATGCAGTGGCTGAAGTTGCATGCGTTGACAAAAAACAACAGCCCGAGGTACGCAACGACCGGTGACCCCCCCTCATATAATTGACCTTGACCTGTTTGACAATTTTTTAAATTTCAGAGCCAGAATGCACCGGTGTCAGCAACAGCTGCAAAAGTCGTCGCGAGTACCGAGACCAGCGTCACCCCCAAGGTAACCGAGAGCCAGTCCACGTCCCTCACAATCGCCGCCATTTTCAAGAGCGAAGCCGAACTGCTGGAAAAACGCATCCAACAGTTCATGGCCGCGCAAGCCGAGCGAGAGCGCATAATCCTCGAAGAGGAGCGAAAGACCGAAGAAGCTGACTCGCAACGCTCCAAGCAGCTGTCGGACGAGGAAGACTTGCTGCAGCGTCAAATTCTCGAGCTCGAGTCCACGGACATAGACGTGGACACGGAAACCGACGAGACTGACGGCGAGATGGTGCTGGATGCCGAGGAGGATGGGCTGAACGTGGAAACGGGCAGCAGCAACGACGTCGACCCCATGAGTTTGGAGGATCGCTACGAGAATATGCTCGAGGGCATGTCTTGGGCCGAGAGGATGGACACGCTGGCGCAGTTGCAGGACCTCGTAGCCAGGCACCCGGGACGGGCGATCGAGCTCCATCAAAAACTCTCCTCGCCGTCGAGGAAGAGATCGTTACCCGAGACACTGAGGAGGTACACGTTTCGTTTGCATTTTTTTTTTTTTTTTTTTTTTTTATAGAGTCTCTCAAGTTCATTTCAACAATGACACGTTGTGCTGCAGGTATCAGGCGAAACAGGCGTGTGCCCAGCACAAGCGGCAAAAACTATTGATGGAGAAATCCCAACGACTGCGCGAGCTGTTGAACAAAGTCGAGGATGTGAAAACGGCCAAGCACCAGCTGATCGAAGACAAGCGACTGCGACTCGAGTTAAAGCTGAAGCGAGCCGAGGAGAAGCGCACGCAGCACCTGCTCGAGGTGGTGCGCAAAGCACACGACGAGGAGTCCAAGCTGAAAGAGATAGCCTTCATAAACGAGCTGGAGGCGCAGAACAAGCGCCACGATTTCATGGCTCTGTGCCAAGAGCAGGAGGAGCGGCTCCAGGGCATCCACGAGGAACGGCAGCGCCGTCAGGAGGAAAAGGCGGCCAAGGAGGCGGCAGCCGAGGAACGCCGGCGAGCCCTCGAGGCCGAGCGCCAGTTGCGGATCCAGCGCATGCGACAGGCCCGCCAGGAGCGCGAGGAGCGCGTCGGCAAGATGCAACTCGAGCGCGAAAAGGAGCGCCAGGAGTTGGCCCGGGAGAAGGCGCGCGACCGCGAGGAACGGCTATCGGCCCTCCACGCGGCTCAACTCGCCAATCAGGAGGAGCTCCAGAAGAAGATCGCCCAGAAGCAGCAGGACTCGGCGCGCCGGCACGTCGAAAACATCGAGCACATACGCCAGCGCGCCCTCGAATCCTCCATCACCCGCTCCGAGGAACTACCGCCGAGTCTCAAGCGGTACCCATGTCCCAAGCAGTGCCTACTTTGCTCTAAAGTCGTAAGTCGAATTGACCCTGTCGCTCTCTTGTCGCAAGTATTCAGCCCATTACTTTTGATTTTTTATTTCTCCCCCACCTCAGATTCCCAACGAAGTGCATCTAATGAGCCATCTGAAGGGACGGCCGCACTCCGAGGCGGTTCGGAGAGTACACGAGGGCCGCGAACCTTCCCGGGACGAGTTGCAAAAGTTCAACATATCGCAGATAAAGGACCTGCAGCAGCCGAGCTCGCAGGATGACGAGAGCCGCGCGGCCAAGGAGCGTCAGAAGGCGCTCAAACGACGCAGCCGGAAAATAAAGCAGCGCATGCTGGCCCGCAGCACGACATCCGCCTCGGAGGAGTCGACCACTGTTGCCCAAAGCACTGCCGATTCCAGCAACAAAGCCAATTTCCGTCGGAACCTCAAGGAGCTTGATAAGCTTTGTCAGGCTCACGCGAGGAGTACCTGGTCCGCCACGCCCGTGGCCAGTCTCGAGCGCTGCCTTGGCCAAATCGCTCGTGCTTTCTCGAAAGCTGTGAGTCGCTTTTGTCGAATGTCACAATCATACTATGGGGTCCAACGTTCAATGCTATCCGACTCTTTTTTCAGTGTCCCCTGGATCAGGATACATTTGCACAGCTCAGCGGCTTTGAGACTCTGACGAATTTGCTGAACCTCGCGCTGAACATTCAAAATGCAACGCAAACCTTGCCAAACAAGTGAGATGAAGAAAAACAATACACACACACACACATATATAAATATACACATGCTGAATATTTTATCGGCTCTTTTGCAGGAGTATCGTATCGATCTGTCGCGTTTACATGTCCGGGTTGACCGGACACCGCAACAACATAGAGACGGTCCTGCTGAGCAGTAAGATCATCGTGCTGTTGGACCTTTTGATGCAGCGTTTGGAGGTAAGTGAACCTTTTTTATCTCACCGCCGTGTTTTGCACCCCTTCGAACGATGGCGCCACTTGTCCCACTTCGAGGGTTTGGATTCCATAATTTTTTTTTTTTTTTTTTTTTTTTTTTTTTTACATAAGGATATACACAATTCCAGCAACCTCATTGCGAGGACTAACTAATCGATATGCTGTTCTCATATGCAACAAAAATCAAATCAAAGTAATTAACGTAGTATTTTTAAACACTCGAGAAGGAAGAAAGAGAAAAAAAAATCACCCATATGAACCCGAAGAATCGTACAAGACCGAGAACTTAAAAGGCTCTCTCCCTCTCGAGAGTCGTGGGTACACGAGAGCCAAAGAGAGTACAAACGATTTTCAGACGACCGAGGCACACAAATGACAAATCGCACCACTCTCGGGCGCATTTTCACCACGTCCCTCCGTATAACGGCGCGCGTATACACACGCGGCACAAAGAGAGTTGGCCTTTACCACCCGCCACCGCGCGTGTCGCTAAAAGCTCGCTCGCTCTCTTGACGCTAATGCATCGTCGTCGAGGCAAAAAGGCGAGGCGCGATATATATATATATTGTACTGCGAAAATTCCACCCCTCCCCGTCCCTCGGATCTACTCTCTCTCTCTCTCTGTGCCCATCAGTTTTTCAACTCACCCCCCTTACACAGAGGGGTCGACCGTTAATTTGAAATAATCTCGAGTTGCAGGTGGTGACGAGCCTCGACGACAGCAGCCAGGAAGCTTCGCCGAAGAGCAGCCACGCTAGCGTGGTCGCAGCCGTGCTCCAGTTGCTCTGCGCCCTAGTGCCCGCCAGCCCGACGAGCTTCGACAAGCCGGCCCTCCAATCTCGGCTTCAAGACCTCACCAGGTGAGAGACCCCGACGATGGCTCTTTTTTTTTTTTTTTTTTCCTTCTGGGTAAAAGAAGACCACCCGCGCAAGCCGGCGCCCCGGGTCGTGTTTGTCTTTGGAAGCGCACCTGGGTCAACTTCCTCCGTCGAAACAAAACACGGGGTCACGTCAACCCTTCCATCTCGTCGGTGCTCCGATTTCACGGCTCCTCGCCGTGTATGTTTTCCCGCGACGCCGCCGAAACTCGAGACGCTCGGAAATATTGCGACTACGCTTTTCCGTCCCCCTTCTATTCTCGTTCGTTCATTGGCTCGAGGATGCTTTTATACACTTACCCCGTGCACGCTTCTTTTTTTAGCACTGCCGCCTCTTCAGCTCCTTTTTTTTTTTCATCTTCTTCTTTGAAATATTGTGAGAAATAATACCGGAGCTTTTAAACCACGCGCCCTCGCATTGTGCGCCTTTGTTTTTTCGGTTGTGGGACAAGTATAATGTAATGAAAAAAACGAAACTGCAGCCGTATACACACACACACGCGCGTTTATTTAATTTCCTGGGGCCGAAGGAAAAAAGGAGCTCGGTCATGCTTTTGATTACCGTAACAGTCGTGGCGCGGCTTGATCAACACCTCCGGGTTTTATCGATCACTGTTTGGTATCCATCCCCCCCCCCACCAAAAAAAAAAGAGAGACGCTCGAGGGTCGTAGGACGATTGTATCGACAACACCTAATATTGTGTGATAATTGGGAGAAAAATCGTCTAGAAAGGGGGGGGGATGAAAATTTACTCGGCAAACAGCTCGAGATGTATATGTTTTATTAATCAGCGACTTACGCGGATTACACGCGCGTACACTCCCAAGACGTTTCTAATCAAGATCGGGATCAAGCGCGTAATTGAATATTACCCGCGATGTTTGTACAGGACTGGATGTGCAGGGTATCGCATATTTTATTTTCAAACTCCCATTGTCTTTCTCCATCGACTGCACCAATTTTGGCTCGAAATCTCCATTACGTATACACCATCGGAAACGCAATTTTCAAGCTAAACGACAGCACGTCTTCCCTTTCATCCGCGAGTCGAGTTCGATTCAATGCCCCACGGATCGGTATATATGGTTGTGTCCATGGTTATATTGTACTTTTTTTTTTTTTTTTTTTTCATTTGGCCAGAAGGGGTTTTTTACCGAGTTCTTGAAATTATTGAAAAAAAAAAAGGAAAAATTTTACGATCAAACGAAGCAGCAATGACGTAGAGAGAAGATCCGAATTGAAAGCTCCATAAGCATGAGTAATGCGGAGAATATAGATACAAACGCGTCTTTGCCCATAAGTCGTCCATGGGGCTGTGTTTCCTCTCTCTCGGATCTTCCGAAGGTGAACGCAAAAGGGAGAGAGAGAGAGAGAGTAGAAACGAGGGAGTGGAAAACATCGCACGCGCAGAAACGCAGAGTGAATGAGAGAGCTACAGCTACGTGTGTGTGTATATATATATAATGTACGTGCGGGGGTGACGAGGTGGAGGGGGGGGGGGAAGTGGTGGCACGGCTACGTAATCTGCTAATGGACTCTCCCTCCCGACCCTTCGCGCGGATTCAACCCCTCGCTGGAGCTTGTGTGTGTATACTTGTTCGTCCCTCCCTTTTTCGAGCTGCGTTCGGGGCGCGTGTTCCGAACTCTTTTTTTTTCTTTTTTTTTTTTTTTTTTTTTTTCCAGAAAGAACCGGCGCATGACGCGACGCTTTTGCGTTTGCGTTCTCTTTGAGTAATATTCGTGGGTGCGCGAGGGTGGGTGTTACAAGCGGGGCTGTCCCTCTTGCTTTTTCTTTTTGATCATGGGTACTGCGTTGATTTTTTGACGTGCGTTGCTCGGGAAAATCTTTGGAAAAAACCAACCACTGAGTGGTAGTAGTGCCCTTGGGGGGGAAAAAGATATATATATATATTTTTTTTTTTTTGACAATTACCCCTTTGAAATTGTGAAAACTGATGGGTCCCGGACAAATAGTACTTTACCACGATATGGAAGTACTGAAAAATGGCAAGTTTTCGATTTTTCCTCAGGGTATTCTTGGAAAACCAGCCATTGATCAAGAAGCACTTTTCATTGGATAGGTATATATGAATGTCTATGTGGTTTTTCATATTTTCGGATGGTACTGCGAATTTCTAAGACACGTCTTAAGAGTATGGTAAACAATAGCAAAATAGACCGTGCTACAATGGCATTTCGGTATCAATCCGTCGTCTAGGGACATTTTTATTTTTGGCAACCTACACTGAAAGAAAAAAAAATGGTAAAAATTACTATGCTACAATGATAATCTGGTGTCATTAGTGACTTTTTACTTTTACCAACCTAATTTTTACTATTTAATGGTTGGATATTAGGTAATTTATGTTGTACATACAGTAAAAATCACCGCACTGGCGATAAAAATCGATTATTTTTTGTACCAGTAAAAATTATCGTCGCAACAGTAAACATAAATATAAATATAAATATAAAGTCTATATAAATTACCATTATAATCCTAATTTTTATTATTATTATTTTTTTTTTGTCTCAGTGTATAAGTACTTGACCGACGACGAGAAAATCGTATTGACAATCGTCTTGTTTTGTACAAAACATTCCGCGTTTTTCATCAAAAGGGTCATTTCTGTACCAAAGTGTAGACTTAACCGAAAGCCCTGATCACCTTCATCCTACATAATATGCTCTGTAAAAAAATGAAAACTGAACACTCAATTTTTTATCAAGTGTAGAAAGCACCGTTCCGCTGATCTATACTGGCGCACAAGGTAATAATTACTTACCGTAATGTACCGAAGCTTCGCACGAGAGCGATCGAGCGATAATCATTGCAAGAGGATCTTCTTCGCGACCCTCCTCTTTTCATATACGCGTATATGACTCCTCCTGTGGACATTATACGATTTTCTTAATTAATTCTACTTTTTTAATTTTTTTTATTAATTTCAGAAATCTTATTGTGTAGGCGAAAAATTTTCTCTTTCGCGACAATTTCGATTTTTAGTTTACCAACACATACTTTTTACACGCTGTTGGCCATTATTGATTTTTTTCTACCTCTTGTACGAAAAATTCATAGTAACTTGGGCTCATTTTTTATTTGTTTTTTTTTTTTTTTTTTTCTGGGTAAAAGAA